ACCCCGGCCAAGTGTTGCGACACGGCCCGGCCCCGCCGCCCGCCTGAGCTGACCGCTCTCCTCCCCGCTGTGCCGCAGGTATGGCCGCACCTGGCCCCGCCGCCGAGCGGCCCGCGGGAGCGACGCCCTGCTGATCGGAGCTGCGGGATCGCCCCCCATGCCACGAGCGGCGCAGCAGCCCTGGTGAAGCCCGGCCCGACGCTGCCTCCCGGCCCGCCCGCCCCACGGATGGCTGCGCAGAGGAAGCACTTGGTGAAAGACTTCAACCCCCACATCACCTGTTACATCTGTAAAGGCTATCTCATCAAGCCCACCACCGTCACCGAGTGCCTCCACACCTGTGAGTCCTGTGCCAGCCACCGCTCAGGGCATAGCCGCTCTCTTTTCCTTTCTCTTCTTTTTTAAATTTTTTTTGGGGGTGGCCAAAGGTTGTGTCTGAGAGAGTCTGTTCCATACTGGGTATTTCCAAAGGACTCACCAGCTTCTGACCGGGCACAGTGAGGAGCAGGGGGTCCAGCCTGCCTCTTTTACAACAGGATGGTTGGCACTTCACATGGCTGGAGCCCCCCTGAGACTTCTCAGGGACCCGCAGACAAGCAGCAGCATCTTATAAATAGGGTCAGGATCAGCACGGCCTTCACCGCTCGCAACGTGGTTCCTGTGGGAGGCTTGTTGAGACCTTTCTAACCCTATCCTCCTCTTTCCTTACATCTAGGTAGGGACCATGCTAGTGAGTTTCCTTCTTGGGAAAGTAAGGAGTTGGAAACATTGAGTGGCTCTCTGCTAGAATCAAGTCTTTTTGCAGGCACTGGTTTTTGATTGTGTCCATATAGTATATAAACAATAGTTGTATTTGGTTTCAGTATGCAAACTGACTGCCTCCTTTACTTCAGTTAGGAGGGTCTTGCTGCACTGAGCCAGTCATGCTGGGGAGTGTCAGGTTTGAACTTTTTTGTTTCAGTTCTTAAAGCTTTCTTGTATGTTGCTTGTTGTACCAAAAGGCCTAGCCTGCCTCTTGAGTTAGCTCAGCATGGCAGAAACTTATCAAGAAACCGATTTTCCCCTCTTTAGCTCTGTCCCTGAACAACAGTGAAAGACTTGTGAGAGATTATTAAGGTTGCCTTGCATCTATTCACAAGACATGCTTTCAGCCCACATTTCAAGCAGTAGGGCACATGTGTCATTTTAAACACATGAGTAATGTTGTCAAATCAGTGGGATTACTTGCATGAGTAACCTCTGTATAAATGTTTACAAGTTTGTCACTAGAACTTTAAAGTGAGTGCACATATGCAGCTTTTGCATAGCAAGCCATTTATTCGCACCTCTACAATATTTGGCAACTTTACAGGTAAAATTAGAATTGTGGGGGGAAAAGAACAGAAGCCATTTATTTTGTAGTAGATTTTCCATTTGTCAGCCATGGCTAACAGACTTGATCAAACCTCTAAGGTCCCTATGCTAGGGTTTTCTTCATTTTCTGTGAAGCATTGTTCTATTTAATTATGGTTGTCTTTATTAATTTGCAGGACCTGGTGATGCACCCTGACAAATCTAGCATGGAATGACAAAGAGAGCTAAAATGTATAATTTGGAAAAATGATCTTTTATTGTGAACACCGTTGTTTAGGGTTGTGACCATAGTTTTATCTGAACCTTCTCTTTTTACTTTAAGCATACATTTCACAAAAGTTCTTTTGGACCACAGGTTTCCATGTCTGATTGCAGCCAAGGGATTCAAGGCTTTTGGATTTTTTGTTTGCTTTTTTGTGTGTTTTGGTAGATGGTTTCTTTTCTTTGTTAAGCAAAATTTCAGCAAAAATAACTTTTAAAATACAAGGAATATTGTTTTTTCTCTCTTAAACATCTTTCCCTTGCAATAAATAACTTAGTTTGAGGGAACTTTAACATTTAAAACCTTTTATGCAGTTAGTTGAACTAGAAAAAACTGTCTAAATTTGGAGTAAAAAATTGAAAATCGTTAGATCAGAAAAGAGTTCAGACTAGCAAACACAATTTTTTTACAGTGCACTTCTGTTAGGTTTTCAGGTTTATTAATAAAAAATGGTATTTTTGCCCCATAGTAAAACCATAATGAAAAGAAGGTATGCTTTGGTTTCCTCAACAAAATACCTGTTTCTTTTCTTTGTTTTTAATATTCCGGCTTTTTATGGTGACATTTCTTAGGGTCCTTATAGTTGCAAAGGATTTATGGGCCTCAGAGTCTTTTGCAAAATTGGGAATTAGCCAGACTTCCTTTAAAGAAATCTTGGTAGAGAGAATGTGGAACTCTTTGAAGGACTAAAACGAAACTGAAACATTTAAGTTTACTTGACATTAAAGCAGTGTGGTGCTTTACCCTTTGGCTCCGTGGGTCAGATGAATGGTTCAGGGCTGGTCTGTGAGCCAGATCAGGCCCTGGGCACCAGGATTGGGTTGTGAACCCCCTTTGCCTGTAACCACACTCCACAAACGATCCTGTGCCATCTCCACTAGCTAGGTGCGCAGAGATTGGACTGCACCAGGATTTGGCTTCACAACACCTCAGCCTAGCCCAGTGTACTGGGATTTGGCCCAGCACGCCAGGATCAGATCCTGTGCTGCCTCTGCAAGGCCTTGTGCACCCAGTAGTAAGCAGGGTCAAGTTATCGTGCCCATGGGGCTCCCCACAGTTTCAGAAATTTGGCTGCCACTGCCCCCCCACTGCCAAATCCTCATACCCCTAGGGAGCCCCACAGGCTGCATGATGCAGCTCTGGGGGCTGGATCTGGCCTGTGGGCTACAGGTTGAGCCCTTCTGTATTAAAGTATTACATACATAATAAAAGACCATTTGTATGGTGCTCAATTCTGGAAGATGTTCTAATCATTATTATATACTGTATACTTAGAGAAGATTTAAATTTTTTAAAATGTTACTAGCATTTTAAAACCATCTCAGTCGCATCCAAAGTATTATCTCCTAATAATTGTTCTTTGCACCTGCTTTGAATAATCATGTGCCAGATTTCAAGTAATTATTTTTTATATATGATCTAAATCAGTTGATGATGTTAACTTAGCAAACAGGGTAAAAAGGTGAACTGATATACATGGTCTCCAGTTATTATACAGAGTAGTTAATATAAGCTGGCAATTTCAAATTTGTTTTAGTAAAATAGTGAAAAAGTGCCATGAATCTTCCTGTAAGCAAAGTGTTGGGGCTTTTGAGCATATTGGACCAATATTCCTAAGAAATTAAATCTACTCTGTACCAACAGAACAACAGAAGTTTAGATACCAGCTATTCAATATTTCTTGAACTTTCCTCTCCCTATTTTGGAAGAACTACCTTTAGTAGTTAAAAAATAATTCACTATCTGTATTTATTTAGTGCTTGGCTTGTTCTTAATGCTACCAACAAGTATTTTGTAATATGAATTAAGGCTACCAACATTTCGTATGCCCCACTAAACAGCCAAAGAAGGCAAGATGCAAGGGTGATGTTGATCTCACCAGAAAAATCCTTGCCTCTCATTTCCTGGTCCATCACAGCTCCAACATCACTCCAACACTACCAAAGACAGCAAGGATTTTTAGTCACTACAGACTCAAGAAAACTGGATGTGAGGTAGAGGCTGAAAGAAGTAAAGTTCCAGGTTTCATAACCCATCCCTTTAGCCACTCAGTCCTCCAGTGGAGTATGTACTTAATAATTCTAAAAGAATATTAAAATTTAAAAAAAAACCTACCATACTAAGACACATTAGGCTGTCTATAATCTTGGCTGCATCTAATAGGTGAATGATTAAAGCTATGTTTTTTTACTAATTTTTTTTCTGGCAAAATGACAACTTGTCAGCCATGACATAATTTGTTACGTATATGTCGGCAGACAAGGTTCTTTGGGTGAATCTGGTATCTTTTATTAGACCATCATAAATAGTTGGAAAACAATTTTTAAGCAAGCTTTCGGGTTCAAAAACCCTTCATCAGGCTTTTGAAGTTTCAGCAGTTGGTGTGTGCTCTTCCTGGATGGAATGAAAAGTAAAGAAGCCAGAGGCTGGGTTGCTATGCACATAAAATAGGCAGTCAGTGAAGATATAGACTGAGGAGCCAATGGGTGAGAGAGAGAGACTGGGTGGGTGGGGATAGAAGGGGGATGAATAGTGCAGAAGTACCTGGGAAGTCCGATGTCAGGCAGATTGTGTCATAAATCCAATCTCTATATTTAGTCCATGATTTTTAGGATCCAGAAGGTTGATGAAGTGGAGTGCATAGGCTCATCTATCTTGTATACATCTTGCCTATCTTATGCATCTGCCCATGATATCTGACTGCCTGTCTTGCATGCAGACGAGACCAGCCTCTGTCTGCTTTACTTTTCATTCCATCCAGGAACAGCACACACCAACTGCTGAAACTTTCTCAGCCTGACAAAGGGTTTTTGAACCCAAAAGTTTGCTTAAAAATTGTTGTCCAACTATTTAAGTTGGTCTAATAAAAGATATCAGATTCACCCAAAGAACCTTGTCTGCCTATGTCCTTAGATGGACACGGCTACAACGTACACCCTTACGTATATATCTGCACCTAAGAGTTTGCCTATTCCTGTTTGAGTGTATTGTGGCAGTTGGTTCATTGTGCTGCAAGCAGCAGTCATCTGCTTCAAGGATTATGAGGAGGTTTTTTAACAGTGTTTCCATGTTCTTCTGCCTAGGGATATAGTGTCTTGTCCCTGTGAGGGGGGCAAAAAAAGGTTACAAGTAGTTTTTTCACATCTGAAACTTCAGGTTCTCGTGTTGTATGGAGTTTATTGCTTGATGGTGTGGAAACAGAGCAGAAATGGTAGCAGTAGTCAGCATTTGGAGGTGGTATTGGACCATGAGGCAGATGCATATAAAGAGGCTATTCCCATGTGCTTTGCCAGAAAGAACCAGAGAGAAGGTAAACTCTATGAGCTACACCGATTTGTGAGAAATTGTTATCATAGTCTAAACTGTAACTGAGTGACTAAGAAACCTGTGTATGACACCTTGCTTTTGAATTTCAGTGTGTATAGTTGACAACAGCACTACATTGCAAAATCATCCCTGTTAGTGCCACTGTCCCTGTGGAAAACAGAGTTTTTATAGCGGTCTGGAGACTGTCCAAGAACACTGACTAGTTCTCCCAGAGAGATTACTTCAGTGTGCGGGAGAACACATTGGATGTATATTGCAGGGAAAAGGTTTGTTGCCGTAAGCATGTCCTTTTGATCCGTATCATCAAAAATACTAATATTGTTATGATAATAGAGTACTTCACACATTGCCTACTCTGTAACTGTTGGGACTGTTGATGATGATCACTTTCGAGTTCT